CCTGCCAGCACGTCTTCAGCTGGCAGCTCCCTGAGGTGCCGTGGCATTTGCACTTCCTCCTCATGTTGTCCATCACCACCTGGGTGGGGAGGGGAGGGCAGAGGGGTTAGCATGGATGAGATGCTTTTTGGGGACCAGAGAAGCCGTCACGGCTCTCTATGCGGGTCAGCGTTGTGGGAACACCATGGGCCAGCACAAGCAGCCATCAGAACCCTGGAGCTCTAAAGCCAACAAGGCTGCACCCTGTCGCTGTGCCTGCTGTCACCCATGTCCCACATCCTGTCCCTTCCCATCCTGGCAGGACCGAATGGCTTTTATACTCCAGCAAGGGACCAGTGCTTGAAGGAGAGGGTGAGCCACCCAGCCCCAGGGAGGACAAGGAGCCTGGATCTCACCTTCCACTGCTGCTTGGCTCCAGCAGCATCAACTCAACCACAGACCCCAGTTAAAGCTAGTGTGGCTGCATCATTGCAGCACTACCGAGACCCCCCCAGCACAAGGGTCCCACACACACCTCGCTGGCCAGGAGCACTTTGAGCAGAGCACGCAGGAGGGATGCGTTTCCCTCCTCAGAGCTTTCCTCCCATAAAGCCCCAGCTCTGGGAGTCCTGGGAGCAGCTCCACTTTCAGCTCTCACCTGGTTTCCTGCAGGAGCCCTGGGTGCAGCACTGGGGGGGCTGAGGTGCTCCTTCCTGCCGTCACCCAAATTTCAAGCAGGGATCAGAGATGCTCACGAGTTTTGGGAGGCCACAGCGAGGCTGGTGCCACATGTCCACCCCCCACGAGGGCCAGCATGTGAGCCGGGCTGGGGCTTGCAAAGCCTATTGCAGGCTGATCCCCCACCCAGCACCATGCTATGGAGTTCGGGAGGAGCCCGGGGGACACATGGCCATGCACAAAGTCCCATCCCATGATGCCAACCCTGCCTGGTCACCCAGCTTCATGCCTGACACACATTTCCTGTTCCTGTCCCCTCCCTGGAGGGGACACGAATGCCTTGTTTTGGTAGGGGGGGTAGTTTTTACTCCTTGTTTTCTTGTTTTTGAGTAAATCTCCTCGTTGCTAAGCAGTTATGGTAATGAAGGCAGGCCAAGGAAACATGCCTGGAGCTCGGGGCACACTGTGGAGAGGCCTGGGCTGGGCTGGAGTTTGGCTTTCATCCTGCTGAGAGTCCTGTCTCCTGCCGGGAACAGCCTCCCTCGCAGGTAATGAGCTGCCTAGCCTCTCCGCCGTGCCCTGGGTGTGCCAGCCAGGAACACCGGCTGCTCGCCACTGTCCTTGCCACCATCCATGGGAACAGGCTGGCACCAGGACCTCATCCTTTCCCACATCGCCTCCCTGCTTCCTTGGCTGGACTAGGGAAATTCTGCATATAGGGCTGTGTCTGGGATGGTCACCACCGGGATGGAGAAGACAGTGGTGTGACAGCTGGACAGGGGCTCATTTGGGGCTACAGCTGGTCGCAGCAAGGGCTGAAGAAGACTGTGTGTGTGTGTGCCATCTCCATCACCCAAGCTATCACCGCTGAGCATCCCAAGCCCCAGCACTGCAGCACCCATCCATCCCTGCCCAGGGATGTCTTGTTCTCCCTCGTGCATGGCCCCACAGTGGAGGAAAGGACCCTGCCAGGGCTGGGAGACCCGAGAAGGATCCATCTGAGCCTCGGCCCCATGCTTTTGGCATCAGATCTCCTCCACGCATCCCTAACATGGACACGTCCTTCCACCGTCTCAGAGACACCCGCGTTCGGCACATGCCTGAACTCGCTGATGCTTTCTTTTGCACATTCCCAGCTCCTCCCAGACACGCTCAGAAGAGCTTTATCGTAGGTCTTTGTTGTCAGGGTAATGGGTAGTTCCTGGCTGCCTTTCATCCTCTCTTGCTCTCTGATCTGGCAGGGTTAGGAGGACCTGCAAAGCCTTTTGCAAGCTACTGCTGCTCCTTGCTGGAGAACTTGCTCCTTCCCTGGAATGCAGGACACCCACCTCAGTCTTGAGTTGGAATAGGAAGCCCCCAGGGCAACCGTGGTTGCCTGGGGGCTTCCTATTCCAACTCAAGACCAAGGTGACCACTGCCATGGCCAGAAGATGCTGTACATCCTCTGCAGCTGCAATCCCCTCCCTGGCTTCACAGCTGGATACAAAAGTGAAAAAAGTGATATGTTTCTGCCTGGTTTCGAACCAGGGACCTTCCGCGTGTCAGGCGAATGTGATAACCACTACACTACAGAAACCCACCTCCCATACCCCCTGGATGTGGCTATTGGGGTGATTGTCACCTCCTCCCGGCATTGCAGGGTCTAAGCTGGGAGTCAGGCTTACCCATGCACAGAGCACCCTTGGGACACACAGGGACAGCAGAGAGGATGTTCAGCATCAGTGAGATGCTGGAGAGCCCTGGGTGCCACAGCTGCTCAGTGCACGGAGATGGACAGCACATGGCAGGGCATGGCACATGGCGCACGTGTCCACATCACCCCTCTGCTCAAGAGGTACAAGCCTTGGGAGTTGAAGAGGAAGACCACAGAGCTGCTGCATCCTGCATGGCCACTCCTTCCCTGTGAAATCCCAGCAGATTGCTCCTTATTACAGCAGAAAGATGGTCCTAGGAGTGAGGAGGGCTTGGGTGGGTGTGGGACCCATGGTGAGCTGGAGAACCCATCCCCAGGAGATGTGTTCCAGCCCCAGCAATAAGCATGGCACCAACAGGCACAGACCAGGCACAGCATCACCTCATTGCTCCAACGTATGGCAACCACGACCATCGCAACCCAACCTGCAGATGGGCTCACATCCTCGTCTCAACATGGTCCCTGAGCTGGGCAGCCTGTTCAGCCATTGTCTCATCTGCAGTGGTACCATGTCCTCCTTTATCCCTTTGGTCCTCCTCTGCCTCCACTCCCAGCGCCCACACCTCTTCCATCAGACCAGCTCTTGTCTCAGAAGCCACCAAGAGCTGATACTGCCAGTCCTGTGCCTGCCTCTCCTTGGAGACAAGCAGACCGCAGGCATTTCTGCTGCTGCTGGATCCCACAGGCACTGCGTGGTGACATCTCCCCCACGCAAATATTCCTCTCTCACCTTCCCCTCCTTCTGCAGGGGGGTGTGGGGCTTCCCATGGGAAATGGGCAATGCAGACCTCAAATTTCTGAACACTGCCAGGAGACCCCATGGCATGGGGCATGCAGAGCTGGAGGGGAGCCAGGATGAGCCTTGCAGCCAGAATAGGGACAGGGGGTCTTGCCTGGCTTGGGGCAGAGCAGCCTGCGGAGGATTCAGCTGCCTAACGCTGAGCGAGGCTTCACCATGCACAAGCAAACAAAGCCAAACAAGCAAAAAGCTCTGGCTTTCCCCAGGCACTTCCTGCTTGGCCAAACTGGCATGGCTCTTCGGGGTGGTAGAGCTCAGCTCCAGCACCAGGGAAGGGCACACATCAAGGTCCTGCTCTGCAGCATCCCCATCTCACAGCTGCCTTTAAACATGCTCAAAGAGGCACATATAAACGACTGAGCCATCCCAGGGAAACACTCCCTGTGGAATTCTGGTCTTTAATTACTTATTCCTTCAGCCACTACACACCCCTCTGCGTGGCCCTGGCAGCATGTGGTTGGGGTCTTGGGGACAAATGTCCCGCTGGATCCATGGGATGAGGTCTCCCTGCCACCTGCTGGGAACAAAGCCAGTCTGGGAAACACAGCCACCCTCCCAGCCCCTCCTGGCTGCATGCTTCTTGTCTCCAGTGCCAGGCTGCTTTTAAATATCAGCTTCCAGACAGAGCCAGCTACTAATTAGCACCTTTAATGAGACTTGACACCGTGAGAATGGAGGGTGGGCTGTCCTGCTCGCCCAGGCAGGCTCCAGCACCTCCTCAGAGCCAGGGGACAAGGCTACGGGCTGTCGCCCCTGCTCCGGAAGGGATGCTGCGCTTCCCAGCTGGCACAGGCACCCACTGCTTGGCTCTGTCCCGCTCACATCTGTCTCCTCCAGCACCAGCTCCCTCTCTGGAGGCAGAGCCATGGCTGGGTGCCGCAGAGCCTGTGCCGTGTCCCCTCGCTGGGACCGCGCATGGCAGCACCTGCCTTCTCACAGCGTGCCAGTGGCTTTCTCCTGCCTGACCACAGCTCCCTTGCACTGCAGCTGCCCGACCCCAGTTCTCCCAGTCCCTGAGCGCCAGGAGCTGGACTCATTGCCATGCCACCAGCACCGTTCCAGCACAGACAGGTGACAGTGGTCTGGGGAAGTGTCCCTCGGCACAGAGACAGCAGCAGTGCTTGGAGGTGCCCACCCCAGCAGAAATGCTCAGCAGCAGGGCTGCACCACTGCCCGCAATCCAGGCAAAACTGGAGAGAGGGAGTGCCTTGGGGCAACCCCAGCCTCGCACGTGCCCCACCGCAGCCAGCACGAGTCCCTTTCAGCCCTCCTGCACGTGTCCCGGGGACCCTGTCCCCATCACCATCACCCTGCTCACCTGCCGGCCCACGCGGTTGTTGTGCAGCCTCATGCGGGAGTGGATGTCCCTGTAGGTTTCCCGGGAATCGAGGAAATCCTTGGAAAACTTCTCCCCATAGTCCACGTCGGGGCTGCAGCCTCCCCATTCCCAGGAGTCCTGGAGGCCAGGGGTCTCGGCCGGCATGTGCTCCATGTGCACCCCATGCACCATGCCTTTGCCGCGGTTCATGGCCTCCAGCTGGAGACGGTGCAGCTTGCGCCGAAAAGCCTCCTCATCGCCCCGGCGCTTCTGGTCGCAGCCGCAGGCCTGCAGCTTGCCAAGAGCGCAGGCGTTGGAGACGGCGTGCACCACGCCAGCGGCCGCAATGGCGTA